AAATCATGAATTATAAAATTCGCAATTTGAAAAGCTGGAACTGTTCCTCCTTTTAATATTCGCTTAACGAAATTTGTGTATAACAAATCCATGTTTGTTGAGAGATTATTTTATTTCCGAAAATGGCTTCTTCCGGAGATTTCATTCTCATACGAAAAATTATAAACCTTGAAATATAGATATTGTTTATTCAATGAAATCAGTGATGAAGTTATGCTGATCTTACTTGACAGACTTATTTAAATTTTGATTAATCTTTAATTTTTTTCGTCCTCCCTTTCTCTTCTTTTTTAGACTATACGAGATTTTCCCGGGTCAGGAGATGAGAGCGAGGGATTAATGCCATAATTAAAAGCCTCCTCCCCCTTCCCCCGCACCAGGGTGCGACCTCATAATTATTTTTTTCCAATTAACTTATGCCAGATTTCCAGGCAAACAAGTGCTGTACACACGCGTTAGTCCGCTCAACTACCCCTCACAAACTTCAATCAAATTCCTTTAGATCAAATAAAATATTGATCTAAAGGAAAGTAGTACCCAATCTATCAGTGAGTAAATAGTTCAGAAGGCTGGCTCCTCACCATGTCTAATTCGATGCGTCAATATTTTCAGAATATTTCTCTACACAACTACATTACCTCATCAATGATACCTGAATGTAAGAATGCCTCTGAGTTCAGGAAAGTATTTAAAATAACTTTAGTTAAATTTTCATTTTCATCAACTATGATTTTTGTTATACAAAACATCTATTTATTAACTGCTAGCGATCTCAATTTATTTGCTGGTCTTTAAATAGAGATTTCTGTATTCTACCGTCACTTTATTTAAGTTTTGAGCTAAACAAGAAAAATAATGTTTTTCCAGGATGTAAATTAATTGCCGGAAATAAGTGAAAAAATACATATAAGTATCATATGCCCTTGAAAGTTTAACCGGAGAGTTCAGACGGTTACACAACGCCGAATTGCGTGAACTGTATCCGGGTAATATAATTGAGGTAATTTCATCGCGGCGAATCAAATGGGCTTGTAAAATTTTTGGGCTTAGTAACGAGAGAATTCCTAAAAGATTAATATTTGCTGTACCGAATAGTGAACGTCCGAGAGGTAGACCGAAGCGAAGGTGGGAAGATTGCATTAAAGCCGATCTGAAGAGACTGGGTTTGAACGGCGAACAGTGGAGGGTAATAAACGATTGGTGGTGTCGGCATCGAACCTTCGGGTTCGCTAAGCCTTTTATTATTGTTATTATCATATGCCCTTGGAAAGCTGATAATTTTACAAAAAATAACACGTAATGTATAAAATCATACAATAGATAGTAGCAAATTAATGGAGCGTAACAAAAATCTAATCCATAGTACGCTTTTGAAATTAAACATTTCTTACCGAAGGAGCAAACTGGTTTAAAATTTTTTTTCTTTGTTTTTTGTTTTTTTTGTTTGAAACATACAAATTCATTTATGTTTTCCTCAAATTACAAAACAGTTAAGACATTGTTCTGAAAATTTTAAACTGCTCATAAGTGGACACTGCAAGCAATTCAATTTTATTTTGATATAGATAATAAATTTTTGTATATTCAGATAAAATGGATTATTGACGACATGAACAAGTAGAAGGGAGCGTATTGTTAACTTCCATACTCAAATCATTTCCAATAAATTAAAAGATTTTCAAGAAATTTATGAATATTGGAGTCTCTCTTTTAAGGCTTTGTTGACCAAGCGTGAATAGCGAGTACCTTCAAAAATGCATATCTTCGGGACGGATAATAACAGTGCATAATAGAATGATAAATGTTAATTAAGATAATTTAAGAATTATCTTTTATCTGGATCGGGTATTGTTTCCTAATTGATTTAGGATATTTCACACGCATTTCAAGGTTTGGCTCAAGGAATTCTCAAATATCTATATTCATTATCTAATTAGATAGTAATTTGTAAATAATAATCTTATATTTAATTAATTATTTATAATATCAAAGTCAGCCTTGAGAAATATAAATATCTATACCCTAAATAATAACAGTAATATAGATACTTTTTTTTGCATTATATATTTTGTGGTAAATATATTAATTTTTTAACATAAGCTACTGAGTAATGTGTTCGGCCAGTAATTTCATTACCAGAGAATAGGTTGTGCAAGTTATCAACAATGATAGTCGAATAATATAAAATATTCGGTTTTTTTATGGTGTAGAGATGGTTAACCGTAATTTTAATATGAGAAGGAGTTATTCGTGGGTGCGATCAAATAAATACTATTTTAATCCTACTCCTTCTCATTTTTTTCCTGTTGGCATTACGAACTATTTAGATCTTTTGCAGCCTTAATAAGCATGGTACATATCTGCCTGTCTTGAGCTATTTCTTTCCATTTTTCTGAAATCTGCACGCAGCTCTATTGCATCTTTGTTGATTCTACCTATCCATCTGCTTTCAGGGCTTTCCACGTGGTCTTCTTCCTTCAGTTGAGACATTTATTGTTACGTAGAGGCTTCCAGATGGATTGCTACGAGCTACATGCTCCGCCCATCTTAACCTCCGTGCCTTCGTATCATAGGATATTGATTGACCAATTTCTGTAAGCATTTCTTTATGGGCATTTCTTCTCCATGTGTTAGTACTCTGATCCCAGATCGCTCCGATGATCGTGCGAAGAATTCCCCAACACTTTTTTCAAGGTTAAGTGTCCAGGTCTCATAGTCATATATTAGAACTGGTTTTATCATAGCATTGTACACCCCTAATTTGAGATTTTTTGGGATTTCAATGCATTTGAAAGAGTGAAGAAAGCTCTAGTTATATGCTTGTCTATTTATGTCATTTGGTTATTCCTTGAGGTTATTGCGGAGCCGAGGTATTTGAATTATTCTACTCTCGAGAATGATTTTCCTTCTACGCAGATTATGTTATTGGGGTGGTATTTTTCGCTTATTATCATAAATTAAAAAAAAATCATAAACATCTCTAAAATATTTAATATAAATTTTTGTTTTGATTTGAGACAATGTTCAATACAATTGTTGAAAACTAAATTTGAGTACATCTCAGGACATTTAGGATCTATAACGATTATAGAGATAAGTACATACTTAAAAATTTCTCGGACATTCATTGACAAACAAAAATATTTTTTCTGTCCTTCGGCGGATTATGGCGGTCAAAATTATTACGAATTTCTCTTTAAAATGACTCCTACAAAGCATAAGTAATCAATTATTTGGAGAATCTCGCGGGGTTCTTTAAAATCCAGTCTTTGTAAACAGTTTATTAAATAATTTTTAGCAAACAAAAAAAATATTTGAAGTAAAACAAGTTTGATTTTTTTTTTTTGAACCAGAATGAAAATACAAAGTTGATGAAGTTTCAAGAAAAAAATATTAACCCTTAGCCCGAAACAAGCCATTTTACAATATAAAATACTAATAATTGAAATATTGAATAAAAACATTGAACAGTGAATGCTCTGCTAACTGAAAATATTTTGATAAATCCCAAAAGATATCAATAAAACAGTTTATCTAGCTTTTATAGTTTAGAAAAAAATTTAGCCGATCTCGAGAGGTTTCCCTTACTCCTCCCACAGTGAGCCGGGAAGTCAGTTAGGAAGTCCCAATGTCGGTGTTCAGTGTCTGCTTAAATAAATAACTCGTACCCCTCTTTAAAAATGTATATTAAATCTGAATTGAATTATGTATGAGCTTGAGGGATGAGTATGATTCACTCAGAAAATTTCGTTAACCCAGAGAGAAAGTTTGCTAATGAAGATCACATTTACAATATATGCCAAAAGGCATTTGTAAATTTTTCAATAATTGAATTTGTTATTATTATAATTATTTCGTTATATACCTTTAAGGTTATTGATAATTAAATAAATTAGAGCTCGTAGAACACTGAATAAGTTTATGGAATATTTTAGCTGTCAATATTTGCGGGTAATATACATACTATTGAACTAATGTGTTCTAATTGTTTTGACCCATCCGTGATAATCAAGTCTGTTTGCATACTTTAAAAAATGTCTATATTAAAATAATTCACAAGTAAAACTGTTATTAGAGCTAAAATGTATCAAAGAATGCTTGTAGTTAAGTAATTCTGACCTTCCATATTTAATATTCGAAATAAATTAGTCAAGTCCCTTCATCTTACTTTGAACGAAAATATATTTCAACCTTCCTTCTATCTACGTACCATTAATTGGGATTAATGTTGATGAGAAATTTCATCAGTTTACAAATAACCTTCTTAATTCCAAGTTTGAGCCTACGTCTTACAAAAGAGACGAAAACAGGGTAATGGTAACTATGGTAGCTGATTCGGTCTTACCCATTAGGAAAACGTTTACGGAATAAGTGCACCGAGGTGCAGTGACCAATGTCAGTCTGCCTTTAGTGAAAGCTGACCAATTAAAAGACATCTTATTTGGACCAATGGCTGTCCTTGATTGCCTAGTTCCTAACGCCGATAATGATGATATACTCGTCGTAGTTGTCCTTGCGAGTTGGTTCCTCTCAAGTGTCCTGGAATGTTGATTTTTTTTTTTATTCTTGCATTTTAACGAGGAAACAACTGTATTATTAGAAACATTTCTTCATTCTTAGAATGGTTTTAATTCTTTTAGGCGCAAGTATCAGACTTCCACTATAATTAAACCCACGACAGAGTAAAGAAGTGATCTGAAGTTAGCATTTATCAGGTCACAGTCCAGGAATCTCTTGGCTTTTGAAGTTTTTTTTAAACTGTTTCATACAGGAATTGTAGGAAGAACTAATTGGTCAATCTAATTTGAAAATAAGTTCAGAATAAACTCAGAATCAGTTATCAGAGCTTAAAGAATTTATTTAATGATATAATGATACAAATCAATATTTAATAAAACATTAATATTATATTACACATAAACTAATAGAATAAAAAATATTTAATAAGTCAAAAGATCAATTTCTTTGATCAGGTCAATACCCATGAATGCAGTGTTATCCACAGTCTGAACTTTATAAGACCAACCCAATTATAACATAGTTTCGAAGATATTTTTCAGGACCCAAACTACACGTTACACTTTAAAATGTTCATACTTATATGTACAATGTTTTTTTCTAAACAGATATCTAGTTCTATTATCACACTTTTTGTTAAGTATCCAGTTTGTTTTTCTTTGAATTTGTTTCTTTAAATTAGCACACTTCAAATCAAAATCCTTGCACCTTCAAACATAAAATAAATTTTAACTTCAAAGTTATTTTCTCTATTGCTGGTGATATTGTACAATGAAAAACTTTATGAAAAATAATTACAAATTTCTTTGTTGGTTGTAAAGAAAGCTTTATTAATGAATTAGGGTCTACTACCATTATCGAGTAAACAAATATTCTTCGAAATTCTGAATTATAGCCTTAACTAATGTAGTAATTTCTATTAGTTCTATTAGTTTTACTACCATGTGTTTATCAACTAAGCTTTGATAATTTTTTAGCCTTAGCTAAAATGGGTTAACAGTCGTAAACATAAGTTTAGTATGCCGTATTAAGAAAAGATAAATTTGAAGTGGAAGCTGTCCTGGGATGGTAAATCGAAGACTGCTAAAGGAATTCGAATCAGAACACTGTTGTAAGTAACATCATTGATTTAAAGTAATTCTTATTAGGTAAATCATCTACTATCCCAAACCATTTTTTTTTTTTTTTTTTTTTTTTTTGTCAATATATGATAAAGATCATCTAAATATCCTGAAGGATAATCACCCTGTAAACGTTCATGACACACATCCATCTTTTTTCACACAAGTCAGCTTGTCACCTATTTGAGAACCATTCGAGGCATTTAAGATACTGTAAACCTTGCCCCATTGCGTTATTTTGCTTGCGATAATTTGTTCTCTTGTTAAACTAACAATATAATTAATAAGTGATAAGCCTATCCCAATGGAAAATATCTCTCTATTTCAATAGTTAAGACATTATCCCTGAACTTATTCTAATCCATTATTGTACTCGCTCTAAATGCCTTTTATTGTAATTGCAATAACCTTATTGCATATAAAAAACCTTAATATATTTATTTATTTATTGAAGTTTACAACTGTACTGAATAAATACAACTAGTAAATAGGAGCAAATCAAGAGTAATGGCATGAGTTGTGGGGACACCTTATGATAGCACTCCCTAAATAGTTCTAACCAAGAAGATCTTCATTTCAGACGCCTTGGAGGATTATCAGGACTTGACGAAGAAGCAAAGCTGGAAACAATTGGATTCGAATGGGACTGAAGTTGGTCACGAAAGGATGCATATCTTTCTTGGGTAAAATCAGCGGCATATGGATCATTAAGGTCTTCATGAATGATTTTATTTGTGACAAAATATGGGTCATTAAGGATTTTATTAAGGAGTTTGGATAGTAAGGGTTGGATGTGATAGGAATTCGATGGTTTGGTGCCCCAAAGCTCAACTCCGTATACCCATATCGGTCTTATTATAGTCATGTAAATGAGTCTTTTATAATTAATTGAAAGTTTAGAGCGTTGGTATATTAAGTGTTAGGGCAGTCGGAAACGTCGAACAGTTACTTGTAGTTTATGTGGATTAAAACGTTTGTTTGTCCAGTTACAATCCTAGGTAACGATATGTTCAAGAGGGACAAGTGGAATATCATTGAAGGATATTGTAGGACAAGAAGTCGTAGGTTTAAGGTTTAGGTTTTGAAATTCGACACTTCTCTAAGAAATCCTCTTTCTTTTGATATCTCATTCATCAAAATTCATTGCTCTTGAGAGCCGGAAATGGATTTTAGTGAACACAAATGACACACATCGTCACACACTACCTACTTAAACTGTATGTTTCGATTTACTCTTGAATTTGAATGCTATCAGAAACGAAATAAATCTAAATTCAAATTAATCCACTAATGATGGTTGAACTATAAATATAGAAGGGCCGCTACTGTCTGCAATGACTATGCCCGAAGCAGTTTCACAAGAGAGATCGTGTGCAGTTTGCTGTAGTAGCTGCATTAGCTCTGAATGCTAGGCGGATTGAACTGACTCGTGTAGAAATAGAAACTGCATTTCAAAGCAAAGTAACTAGTTTAGTACCAACGGGCCTTTTCATAACTTCCTCCATTACACCAGTTAAAATTCACAATGAACAAGCTTGCTTAAGAGGATTTATGGTTGTCCTAGCTGGATATATAGAAACCATGTACTAAATTTTGTGCTTATGTGTTTAACAATATATGTTTATTAATTAAAAGTATACGATACGAAAAGTATGCGCATATCTGCTTGTAAACATATAACTTTGGCCAAGAAGTTATATTTTGCGTTTCTCAATGCGTCTTGGCTGTAAGTTTCACTTTCGCATTGCAGACAGACTATGATGGAATTTTCGACGGTCACGTGTATGCCGTAACAAGAGAATATGAGGTCTTATTTCCTTACTATCTTTTGAGCTCCGCATGGAAGCACCCTCAACTGAGCTCTTTAAGGGTAGTTCAGAGAATAAGGCACTTTTTTACCATTCTCTGCATCCAGAGTTCAAGTCCGGTTTTGTGGTGATTTGTTCTATTAAATCAGCCATGGATTAAACCTAGGATCGATAGACCCTGGATGAATAAGAAAAAAAGAACGGTTCAACGCACAATCGCTGAACAAGAATTAGTACTTTCTAACAAAGAATCAGTCCTAACAAACTATCAGTAGTCCGTGGTTTATACGTTTTTCTATTAAATGTATGACCCTCTGCCAAATAATTCCCGGATTGCTTCATCTCATCATAAGCTACAACTTTTTTATCCAAGCTAATCCTCAGATTTGTAGCGTTTTTTTACCTGGAGATCGCCAAACTTTGTCTATTTAATTAGGTACAAAAAATTCATTAACAGTCATTTGCTTTCCACTTGAACCATAAGATAATTTGATCAAAAAATCGAGGAAAAAGGTATATTACAAAATATTAGGCCTTTTGGCGTAACCTCCACCCCCCCCCCCAACATGACAAAATAATGAGGTTATATAAGATAAACGTCCCAATATTTTTGTAGATTACTTATTTTTTATCGACTTTGTCGATAAAATTATCTAACGATTCAAGTGGAAATCAAATGGGTATTTTTGAGTTATTAGTAACAGATAAAATGAATTTATTTAATGAGAAAACGCCATATTTCTAAGAATTTTCGTTAAAAAAAAATTTGTAGGTTACGGTAAGAGCTATTTACGAAGTTTTAGGCGGATGTAAAAAAATTGGTTAAAAGATGCCTGTACCACGGATTATGAATCCAAGACCATCCATGACTTGTAGTAAGTGGTGTTTGTTCTTTGTTTTTATATTTACTGGATCGATGTCCATAAGCTGAGTATTCTATTTTGTTCTAGAGAAAAAATCTCTTATTCCCAGCTCTATCATAAAAATCAGTTTAGACCATTGCCCCTCTCCGTCGTTTATGAAATATTTCAACTTCGAAGATGGCTTTATTATACTTCCTATCGTCTTAATTTGATATGTAAAACTTTTATAATTTCAAAACATTATATCCCCTTTTATAATCCATTTATAGGTTAAGAAATATTTGTGGTCGTCTCTTTCTAAATAAATGATGAATATAGAATGTCTTTCCATAATCACCTAATATAGAATTTATTTACTTATTTTTCTCATGACTCTTTTATACTCTTCATTACCTAAACTACAATTATAATGCTATATTAACATTATTAAAAATATTTATTGTTCCAAACATTTTGTTTCTACTCTAAGAAAAGAAAGTAACAAATTCTAAAAAATAATTACTCAAGTTATTGATTGATCAATTATTCGACTTTTAACGGCTATAAATCCACCATGATATATTCATATGTATAAAATAGCGGTGCCTGGCATTTTTACCCGCGTGTAATTGTTATTCACGCCTCTTTCATTTACAGAACGTGGATAAAACCAAATATATCTGATTTACCAAATAACATCAGTACTTTATAGTTGGAGTACTTTTGAGAAAAAAGAAAATTATGAACCTCTAAAATAAAACATTACGTTGACATTAATAGTCTTTAATTTCATGACTCTATTATGAACAATTTTTTTTTCCACTAACAAATTAAAAATTTTGTATCTGTGGTTTATTTATGGCATCATTGAGTAGGCGATTAACTTACATTTATCTTACTGATCCATTCCTATGAATAGTAGCATAATGTTATTAAGCTTGAGGCTTCCATAGTCAACGCTCTGTCCATTCAAAAAACAAAACTTTCGAATCGATCGGGTAGTGCTATTTTTGGGTGAGAAATTCATTCGGGATGCCACTGGATAAATATCGATGATAATTATCCAGAATTATTTAATAAAAATTAATAATAAAACATTATTAAAAGAAATTTGGATCTATAATATATTGATTGGTCCAGGATTAATTAATTGAATTTCTTTTCTCAAAGGCTGGTTTTGTGTTTATCATGCTTTCTAATTCAACATTACCTGTGATCGTCATGATAAAAATAGGTGGCAGAATTAAAATAACTTTTACTAAAAAAATTAATTTATTTCTATGTTTAATAAAGAATTATATACAAATAACATAGAAATCTTACTGTGCAAATACTATATACAATAAACTAAATACATGATTCAAAGAATTTAATAATTAACTATGAAGGTATGATTTCAGATGGACTGTTTTCAGAATTATTGTCAATATAACATTAGGATTGGGAATCAAAACTTAGCTATTATGTTATGTGAAGTGGTGTAGTTAGTAGATTTCATCGCTGCATCTGCTGATCCGAGGTCATCTCGTCAAGCCCAGGTCAAAACTCTGCTAAGAGGCCCTTCTTCATGGTCTATGTAGAGCCAAGGCTTCAGTCCCCCAGCCGGAAAAAAAACAAAAGACCTTTTTTCTTACTTCTCGGGATATTTTATATAAATATTCAGAGTGGGGTAAGGATAGTTTTCATTGGTTCTTAACTTCACAATAACAGGTAACGCCCTAAAAGGAACCAGTTACTTAACCCTTTATCAGTTTTTGCTCTAAGGAACGGCCTTCCCTAGACCCATAGGTCCTTATCTACCTTCTACCCTCCTTGACGCTGTTTTTGATGTCAGAAGTCGGTTTCATTCAACTTTGTTTTCAGCAGCTCATATTAAGCTTAAAAGATTACTACCTGCTTGGTTCAATGCATAGCAGTAGTTTCTGAAATAAGTAAGTTCAAACAAACAAATTATTGAGCTTAAATATAGAAATAAACAATTAAATTTTTACAGTTGACTTTTTCTGGATTGGAGTTATGAGCTATTTAAAACGCATATAATTTACTTAGAGAAATTTAATTGTCATAGAAAAAATATTTAATAAACCTTTTATTGATGCTGTAACTGAAACAAAAAAGCCACAATTCTTCCATGAAATATAAATAATAGTTCCTCTAAAATTAGGTAAATAATATTAATTTTTCTTGAACTCTAATTAAACTATTTTTTTAAATAAAAATACAATTAACCTTATTTCAATTAAACTACTACAATCAAAGTTAAATCAAATGTTTCAGGTGAAGGATAACATTCTCATGACGAAGATAAGATTGCTATTTCAAATTTAATCTTGGCTTTAA